CTCAATCTCACTCAGAATCTCAGGTGTCCCGGAAACGATGTTGCCACACTCAGTCTTCAGCTTTGACAGTTGGCTCTTTCTGGCAGATAGATCTCTGGCAAAGACTTTGGAGCCCTGGTTACGCTCGATCGCTTCTTTAATACGAGCAGCATTAAAGTTGCGTAAGTCTCGCCGCATGCATTTGAAGTTTGTCTGTTCAATTGCCTGTATGCTGTCAAATCTGTTGACGATTGCAGCCTCATCTCCCGTCTAACAGCCATGAGATTAAGAGTGTGATCGGAGAGTTTTTGTTTTCTTCTGCGGCGGGTCTTGCAGAACTTAGCTCCGATCGCATGGACAGTTTCCACGAGCTTGTCATTCATATCGTCCACTGAATTGCAATCCACTAGGCACTGAAAGTGGTTTTGTAACTCGAGCTGAAAGGTTTCGGGATTCTGGCTTAGAGCACGAGGGTGACGGAGCGTTGACTTTATTAGACGAGACCTCTCCAACTCAACGTTTAGGTTCAGTGTGCCTCTAACCATTCGGTGATCGCTGCCAGTTTTCACCCTTGCGATCACTGAGACATCACTGAACAGTTGGCGTCTGGTCGTCATAATGAAGTCAATCTCATTTTTTGTCGAACCGTCGGGGCTCGACAAGGTCCACTTCCTGTGGGGCCGCTTTTGGAAGAAAGAGTTCATCATAAAGAGTCCCTCTTTCTCCATAAAGTCGGCCAGCTACTGGCCCCTTTGATTCCGTTGCCCTACTCCAAATTTCCCCACCTTCAGCTCACCGCTTTCTCTTGTGCCTAGTTTTGCGTTGAAGTCTCCCATCAGTACCGTCTGGTGGGTTTTGGAGGAAAGCATGGTTCTGGAAATATCCTCATACATTTCCTCCACCTCCTCATCGAGATGTGCTGAGGTTGGTGCGTAAACCTGTATGACCTTCAGGAAATACCGTTTGGTGATTCTCAGTATCAGGTACGCGACCCTCGTCGACACACTCCCAATATTTACAACGTTGTTGACGAGAGACTTGTGAACGATAAATCCGACACCTCCTTGGGATAGATGGTCGCCCTCCCGGTGGTAGAACAAGTTGCCGGACTCGTGGATTGCCGTGTCCTCCCCCTCTCTTTGGATCTCGGATAATCCAATAATATGCCAGCGCAACTTGTCTACCTCTTCTTCCAGCTCCAGTATCTTCTCGTCAGTCCTCAGGGTGCGTGCGTTATATGTTGCCAGGTCGAGTCGTCGTAGGTGGCAACCGAACCTCCACCGGAGATTCTTAGCACCCCCTGCCCCGCCGTTACCATGGTCGCCAACGTAGCCAGGAATAGCGGGGCCGCCGGGGACTGGGGGCCGTTTTTTTGCGTCGTTATTCATGGGGGGATATTTGCCATAGTTGCCACGCTTGGCGAGCGTGTTGGCAGCCGCATTTTTTTATTATATCACAGTTGTTATCAGGAAGATTCTGCTGCCCATCTCCTGCCTGTCTCCCTCTGTTGCCTCTTACGACATCCACGGGAAGATATGGGGTAGTGGATATTCTCAACCGCCACTACACGGCAACTGTTTGTATAGACTACAGTTAATTTTTTCGGATCTAAATGTTTGTACATGTGCAATTTATGCATTTCACATGCCTCCACGATGTAAGGAATTTGTGTGTAGCTTAATTATAAAATGAAATCATTGTAAAACCATACATTTGTGTTATATTTATGAGATAATGGTGGATGTCACCATAGTAATTGCATTGATGCAGTCAGTGATTTCACTAAAAATAATTAGATTTTGTTATTGTTATAATAAAATCTAATTATTAGTAATATATATTTTATTATTGTAGTATACTTGTTGAAATAGTTTTAATGTAATTTATATATATATATAAAATATATTTTTATTTATTTATTTATTACACAATTATAACATAATATCATATCAGTTATTAAACCAATGCGATGCTACAACTAATCTAAATATAAGAAAACTACTGACTAATAAATAATGGTATCTAGTATGAAATTTATCAAATTAATGGTAAAATAAAATACTAATTAAAAACATTACAATTTTCGACGCATTTGTATGCTGCAATTATGAATTTCGTCTCACTACATGCAAATATGTCAATATCCTGTGAGATGATATTAACATAGTGTATAGCCCGTGACAATGGTGCATTTTGAAGCAACTTCGTCCTAGCAGCGGGCACGAGGAGTAATGGGGGACGACGAAGAGAACACACGTAATTATTAAGAACCCGCATCTTTAACGCAGCGAGCACATCTGGGTGATATATCCATCCACGTAATACCTTCCACACATATTTAATAAGCGTGATGTCTCTTCTCACACTTAAGCGGCTGTAACCAACCATCCCCAGTACAAACAGACTCGGATACATCAGTGGAAAACAAGGATAGATTCCGTACTGCTTAAAGTATAAAAATCGCATGAATTTATTTTGAATTTTTTCAACCATGACACTATACTTGTTTTCATGTGGATTTCAAATACTTGCGTTCGTTTCAAGTTGACTTCTCACGAGAGCATTGTATAAAATTTTAACAGTTAAAAATTCTGAAAATCCCTACACTGCCTTAATATAAACCCGAGACTCCTGAAAGCTTTTTTACAAATATTTAAAATGTGCTTACGAAAATTAAGTTCCGGGACCATCTCAACGCCTAAGTTTCTAATATATGTAACGCGCGGGATTACGAGGCCGTTCATTTCATAAGCATACTTCTGAGGGACTTTTGCACGACCATAACTCATGATACAACATTTATTAACATTGAAATTCAATTCGTTTTCCATTCCCCAATGTGCCAATCTGTCAATGTCCCTTCTCAGACTTTGGCAGTCAGAAGAATTGTTTACTTTCAAAAAAATTTTTAGATCATCGGCAAATAGCAAACACTGAGCCTCTTTAACGACCGTAGGAAGATCATTAACCATTAACATAAATAATAAAGGGCCAAGATTACTCCCTTGACTCACACCAGAATAAGTACAATACGGATGCGATTCAAAACCTGCGAAATCTACGTATTGTTGACGTCCGCTCAGATAATTCGCAAAGAAATCTAGTAAACTAGGTGTAAAACCTAACTCCGCAAGCTTTACCAACAAGATATCGTTACCAACGGTATCGAAGGCTTTTCGGAAATCGAAATATGCAGTGTCCACCTGGCTCCCAGCATCCACTACTGGCACCACATAATTTATAAAGGACAATAAATTACTCCCAGTACTTCGACCTGGCCGAAAACTATGCTGAGCTTCAGTAAGCCGCGAGTTCACTTGATTATAAACATATTTATAAATAATCGACTCAAATACCTTAGCGATTGCACACAATACGGCCACCGGTCTATATTCATCCACCTTTGAACCCGATCCTCCTTTCAACACAGGAATCACTCGGGACACTTTCCATTCGTCCGGGTAGTAACCTTCTTTTAGAAACAGGTTAAAAATATGTAAAAGAGGCAATTCAAACACCATACGGCAGTCTTTTAAAATGAACGGCGGTATACCATCTGGACTCACGGACTTCTTGGGCTTAAGACGTGTGAGGGCGCCTCGAACATCTCGCACGTTTATCCGCCCGATATGAACAGTATTTGAACTCGTCGCGTAGCTTAACGTTTGCACGGCTGTGCGCTCCGCTTCCTTCGGATCTAAAGTGGGCCTCTCTTTACTATACACTGAATGAAAAAATGAAGCAAAATACTCTGTACAGTCCGCATCCCTAATCACTTGCCCGTCTTCAATAATTTGAGTTCTATTAAGTTTTGACTGTTTACTCCTAACGAAATCCCAAAAAGATTTTGGATCCTCTTTTATATTATTTTGTACTCTACACTGATATGCCTCGTAAGCCCAACTTATTTTATTTTTAACCACTGCACAATAGCATGAGAATGATTCATAATCCGTCCGAGATCCCGTTATTTTTAATAATTTATGGTATTTCCATTTGAGTCTTATATCTAATATTAAATCAGCCGTATACCAATCAGGGTAAGTATACTTCGCATTATGATTACTTAATTTACGTTTCTTCCGAGTCACACATTTACTAAACTCATTCTTTATAATATCGTAAAAATAATACAAGGAGGATTTGGCATCTTCTAACAGATATAACGAACTCCAGTCAATTGAACCTAATAACTTATATAATTTGAAGAAGTCACATTTCCTAAAATTCCAACCAGAGCTTTCAATTATTATATTATTATTATTAATATTATTACCAGTTATACTAATGGGGGTTCGCCCTAACTAACTTTGTTGGATGCGTAATTGCAAAGTAAACCCCTTGGGTTTCATTATATCAATTGGGAATAACAGGAAACAAACGGAAGATTGATAATGAAGAAAAATAGATAGAATTAGAGATTAAATTTCCAATTAGAAAGCAATATCAACGCGTATCTATCATACGCGTAATTGTTGCACACAAATCACATTCGGATTCGATAACTTAAAAATTAATATTATTACTTAAGTACTTGTATTTTCAAAAACTGTAATAACTATGTATCATTATTTATATATTTTAACTTGTGTAAAATTTAGCTACTCTTTGAAAAATAGCCCTGTATACTGGATGACCTTTTTACTGACTGGACAGAAATAGGGTGTAATATGTGAACGGAGTAGAAGCCTATGGCACTGATATTTTACAAAAAATAAAAGCAAAAAGATTGAACTAAATAAATTAATTAAAATCTATCGTAATTCAAATTCCATCCTACTTTACAAACCACAATTAAACAATAAAAATAGTAGGCATCTTTGATCTTGAAACTTTGCAGGGTCACATGATCAAGAAGAGCATAGGGCAAAGTAATTGTTAATTTTTTTTTAAAACGTGTAATTAAAAATTTTATTTTTTATTTATTCTAGCTATATTGCCATAGGCTTCTACTCCATTCAAATGTTACATACACCCTACTTTTTCCCAGACGGTAAAAAAGGTTATCCAGTATGTATGTATCATGGGCGGAAAATGGGTGTTGGATTCATAGTTCGACACAATACGACAAACTTACTTTTGATAGACGATATTACACCATCTTGCCTTATATCATAATTGTTTGGTAGTTCTTCTTCCATAGCTTTTAGTTCTTCTTCGGAGAAAGGGAACAGCTCAGTACCAAGATCGCTAGGGTCGGAGGGCCATGTTCCGGAAGTGTGTACCAGTTCCTCGTCGAAACGATCAGCAAACTTGTTAACTTCTAATTTATAGCCCAGGTTTTTGCGATTGTGATGTACGATGCGTCTGAAATAGTTGTCTTCCTGAGTAAGTGTGATTGAGTCAACTACATTAAAACATATGTTTCAAAGATTAAAAGGTATGTCTTACCTCCAATTATCTTCAAAAATTAATTTCCTTACTTCAGATTCTTTGTCCTTATAATTCCTTCCATGATAATTTTTATAGCTGTAATAAAATATAGAAGCTAAATTTCAATTTGAATCAATATTTAAAAAATTTTACCCTTCCGTAAAAATAAATTTGGTTTACCTTTGAAAGGCTTTGTTTACATCGGAGTCAAGATGAGGATGGAGGTTTTCGAGATCCTGTTTTAGGTTTGTACCTAAATGCTGTGCATTCTTACATTTTTCAACTGAAATAAAATGCTAGGAAATATAGCCGTTTATATTTAGTTTATAGAAGGTTATAGAAGGCTATTAGGGGATTTTCGTCCTTATACCAGTAACATCGGATGAGGAAATAACGAAATTCTTATCATAAAGTATAAGGAATGTTAACACACAGTCCACTTCATGGTAAGTGGATGCAGTGGCAAATAGCAATTGTATAAAATGACGAAATTCTTATCATAAAGTATAAGGAGTGTTAACACACAGTACATTTCATGGTAAGTGGGTGCAGTGGTAAATAGCAATTGCATATAAATTTAATGACATATTTGGTTATTATTATATTATATTGACTTTTTTAATATATTTATGCACTATCTCGATCTGACAACAACTTCCAAATAATATCAACAGATATTATCTGTGCACTAATTATCATACTGCGGTACAATATGCAGTGTGCATGTTCTGACATAGTTATTTATTATAAATGTATAGAATCAGACGTTATCTTGTGGAAATACGAGTATAGTACGTGAGGGTAATATGTGCACCCGGTTAATATGGTCACTTTCTTATAACTCAAAAACTACAGCCTTGTTTGCATAGATGGCTGTGTGATACGATATCTCTTCATCATTCTATTTGATTGATAAAGGGTCAAAAAGGCGCCTCTTCATCAACATCATTTTGACAGTTGATATTAAAGTAAATATTTTAGTCGATTTTAGTATTGTTGCGCGAATAAGTCGACGTCATGTATCCGACACTAGCGCCATCTAGTGTCAGGGACGAGAGCGAGGGCAGCTTTCCAAAAAATGCCATCACTAATCTTTCAACCGACAGTGCCATCTAGTCTCGGAACGAAGAACTAAGCTTCTAGAAGTCGGCACTCGAACTCTCGGCGCCTTCGGTTGCGCGTGTTTACTTGAATATTCTGGATGTTTCGGTGCTAATTTGTATTTATAGGCGCTGCAAGATGCGATCGGGGAAGTATTGAATTTGGCGAGACAAGCGAAGCTTCGGAGCGAAATAAAGTGAATCAGTGTGATTAATTTTTAGTGTCTTAAGTTTTAATTGGTGTAAAGAAAATTAAAGTGTTAATTTAGGTAATTCTATCGGAAATTTTTATTGTCACGAACCTCAAGCTCGTAACAATTGGTGTCAGAAGTAGGATAAAATCATGCCAATTTTACCTAAGGAGGAAACAGAGGGTGTCCGTACCCGAAGTCAACGCCAACAGGAGACGGACCAAAGAAGATTTGGTGGTGCAACGCCGCAGACGTCGGAGAGCCAGCCGCCGGCTGCAGGCCCGTCAGTAGCTCCTACATTTGCAGCACCTGACTTAGGTGCTCTGATGGTAAAGCTGCAGGAGTAGGCTCGCTGACAGGAGGAGCAAGCCCGTTGGTTGAAAGAGCAGCAGGAGGAACAGGCCCGCCGACAGGCGGAACAGGCTTGCTGACAGGAGGAACAGGCTCACCGACAGGAGGAACAGGCTCGCCGACAGAAGGAACAGGTCCGTCAGTTGGAAGAGCAACTGCGGGGCGGACAAGAGGAACAGGCCCGTTGGTTGAGAGAGCAGCAGGAGCAACAGGCCCGCCGATAGGAAGAGCAGATGCTCCTCGTGAATGACATTCACGCTAACTTCGGGAAAGAGATAAGGGAGGTGAAGAATAGGGTTGCTCAACATGACAACCGCCTGTCGTAAGCTGAAACCCAAATCAAGGAAGCTAAAACCCAAATCGACCAAGTGAACCATCGGGTTGATTACGTGATGGCTGACGTGAAGAAAACGCTGGACGACCTCAAACCGGGGGATGGAATAACAGCTCCCGTTATAGCTACAACACTTTCACTACGTGGGTTCAAGGTGCCACCGTTCGATGGGACTTCTTCCTGGTCGGCCTACAAAATCCAGTTCGAAGCTGTTATGAATGCGAACGGCTGAAATAAAAGTCAGGCCATGACTGCTCTCACACTAGGCCTGCGCGACCAGGCCTTAACCGTTTTGGAAGCTCTCGGTAAGGAAGTGACTTATGAGCAGCTCCTTGAGGCATTGGAGGCGAGATATGGCGATGATCACCTGTAACACGTCTTTCGTGCGCAGCTTAAAGATCGCGTGTAGCGCATCACCAAAAACCTGCAGCAGCGGGATCTACGAGTAGAGGTGGAGAAGCTGGTGTGAAAAGCATACCGGTCCGTACCTGCGCTCATTGAAGGGAACCTGGTCAGGCATTCATCGATGGCATCCGCGACCTTGAATTCAGAGCTGCTGTGAGGCTCGGGCAGCACGATCGCTTAAGGACGCCTGGGCCCATGCACTGGAGGTGGAAGCCGTGCGGCAGGATCATCGTTGCCATCGCGTCATGAAGGTTGCAGCAGCTACAGTTTGCGACCGCAATAAAGGATACAGCCCTAGGTGCTATGGCTGTGGGGAAAGGGGCCACTTACAATCCAGCTACCCTAAGTGACCCTAGAAAGGGAAGGTGAACGGTCTCAGGAGGGTAGTGAGGCCAACAGCACTGCCCAGCAGCAGCAGGGAAACGAGAAAAAGGCAGAAATGCGGGGCGGAAGCTGGCTGATGTTAAAAGAGCCCCAAGGATCTCGATCTCACAATACCATGATAGGAACAATCTAATCATCAAGGGCGAGGTCAACGGAATGCCGTGTAAACTGACCATAGATACTGGAGACTCTCGTACGGTTGTTAGTTCCCAACTTATAAGTCGGTTCCTTGGCGACTCCGCATACAACCGAGAACGCATTAATTTGGTAACAGCCATAGGTCGGCGTATACCTGTCCGTGGAGAGAAAGAGATGGAGTTGAAGCTAGGCAACATGATCTACCTGCATAATGTCATCGTGGCTGATATAATGTACGACTGCATCCTGGGCCTAGACTTTATGAGGAATAATTGTTGTGAGATCGACGTTAAGCAAGGTGTTTTGATATGTGGGCAGGAGGAACTTTTTATGAAAGGTGCGTTACCAGGGAACGTGTACAGTATTAAGAAGATTGTTCTTTCGCCGAGATCGGAAACGATTGTTCCGGTTAGTCTTCCTCGAAACGGTGGGCAAGCTCACGGTTGTGTACTTGTGGAAAGGGTAAACAATGACCTTCCATGGAATGAAATGAAATGGTGTTCACCCGTGGTTCTGGTAAAGAAGAAGGATGACAGCATGCGGTTCTGTGTTGACTACCGCCGTTTGAACGACGTTACAAAGAAGGACAGCTATCCCTTGCCAAGAATTGATGACACGCTGGATATGATTACAGGAGTAAAGTGGTTTAGCCCGCTGGATCTAAAAAGTGGCTACTGGCAAGTTGAAATTGACCCTAAGGACAAGGAGAAAACTGCGTTCTCGACGGGAAAGGGTTTGTGGAAGTTAAAGGAATGCCGTTTGGATTGTGCAATGCTCCAGCAACGTTTGAAAGGCTGATGGAGCTTGTACTCACCGGGCTAATTGGCGATGCCTGTCTGGTCTATTTGGATGACGTCATCATCGTGGGCCGTACGTTTGAGGAAAACCTTCAAAACCTGGAGCGCGTGCTCATGAAGATTCAGAGTGCTAACCGCAAGTTGAGTCCGAAGAAATGTTCACTATTCAAACGGCAAGTTAACTTTTTGGGGTATGTAGTATCGGAAGAAAGGATACCTTCTTCCGACACTACATATCCCAAAAAGTTGACTGAGCACGGATCCGGAGAAAATCGCCGCTGTCAAGGATTGGCCAGTTCCAAAAAACAAGACGTAGGTTAGAGCATTTTTGGGTTTGTGCTCCTATTATCGGCAATTTGTGAAGAACTTTGCAGATATAGACAAATTTCTGCACAAGCTAACTGAAGAGAAGCAACATTTCTGCTGGGATGAAAGTTGCAATATCACATTCCAGGAGCTCAAAGACCGTCTTTGCAAAACACTTATTTTGGGATACCCCGATGCAAGCAAAGAATTTATAGTTGACGCAGACGCAAGTGATATAGGACTTGGCGGTGTGTTGTCTCAACGGAATGGTGACCAAGAGGTCGTGATAGTGTACTTCAGCAAGTCGTTGTCAAAACCGGAAAGGAACTATTGTGTCACAAGACGCGAATTGCTAGCTGTGGTAAAGTCGTTGCAGCATTTTATCAAATATATTCTATGGCGGAAATTTCACTTACGAACTGACCATGCTACACTAAAATGGCTATAGCAGTTTAAAAATCCAGAAGGACAAGTTGCGAGGTGTATTGAACTACTGCAGGAATACGACTTTGAGAACGAACATCGCAGCGAGAAATCTCAAGGCAACGCAGATGCATTGTCAAAAAGACCTTTTTCTGAAGATTGGAAACATTGTACTAGGCAGGAGAGTAAGGAAGTGGTATCCGTGAGGATGCTTAGGACAGACCACCTCAGCTACGAGTGGAAGAACAGCTTACAACTTGCCCAGCAGGAAGATTCAGACATCAAACCTAATCTGCAATGGATAAAGACCAATGCTCCCAAGCACAAGTGGAGCGACGTCTCAGCGATGAGTTCGACCACGAAAAGCTAGGTAAGCTTGGGGGCCCAACCCAATGGGACAGCTTGCTGATTCAGGATGGAGTCCTATGCCATAAATTGGAAAATGTCCTGGGAGACAGCTGTCATTTGCAAATGGTTGTCCCTAAAGCTAAAATACCGAATATTCTACAGCTGTACCATAATGATTGTTCGTACTGAAGATCCGAGAATGGTTTTACTGGGTCCACTGTCGGAACGATGTCGAGGACTGGTGTTGCAAATGTACAAGTTGTGCGGCTGTAAAGAGACCTCAGACTCGTAGTAGAGATGCACTGAAGTTGTACAATATTGGTGCACCATGGGATAGAATAGCCATTGACGTGGCGAGGGTTTCCAGAGAGTAAAAGCGGTAACAAGTATTTCATGGTTGTGATGGATTACTTCACTAAGTGGCCAGAAGTCTTCACCATTCCAAATCAAGAAGCTTCAACAGTTGCAGATAAACTAGTTCATGAAGTCTTCTGTCGTTTTGTAGT